GGGAACTTGATACATGCACCGGCGGTTGAGCTGCACAACATCAAGACCCCTTACCTGTTCCATACTTGGGCATTTGACAGCGCAGCAATCGTAAGGCCACAGATTGCAGCGACTAAAGTTAGTACCACGTGGGGGTGGAGGCTATACCGATGAGGAAGGCAGACGGGGCAGGAGTAGCCAACTTCATCAGAGAAAGCATAATCTGTAGGTTTGGCATACCAAAAGTAATGCTGTCCGACAATGGAACTCCCTTTGTAAATCGTCATGTGGGAAGACTGCTGAACGCCTACCAGATCAAGCAGCACAAGTCAAGTCCATACTATCCCCAAGGGAGTGGACAAGCTGAGGCGACCAACAAAACCATCATTCGAATATTGAGTAAAATGATGGATGAAGCAGGGAGCAGCACATGGTCTGAAATCATCAACAACTCACTGACTAATCAATATATATCACAAATCAAAAAAAAAATTAACAAATCAATATATAACAAATCTAACAGATCAATTTTGTTTAATATATAACAGATCAATATATAACTAGCACAGATTAAAAAAAATTATTCTGAACAATACAAATCAACAACATCAGATCAGAGAGAGAGAGAGAGAGAGAGAGAGAGATAACAGATCTGAGTACACCTCCATCGTCTGGCACAGATTTGAGCGATGCCAATGACCAGGCACTATGGCGAGATCGACGGTGGGTTCGGTGGTGGTGAGAGAGATGGACCTTCTGCTCAAGAATAGAGAGAGACGAAGTGGAGAGAGAGAAAGAGAAACTGAGGCAAGGAGAAGAGAGAGAGAGGGGGGTCAGGGCCAACGGTGGTGGTGGCGATGTCGCTGTGTCGTGACTGTGAGAGAGTTGAGTTAAGAGAGTGAGAGTGTTGAAAACGAGAGAGTGAAGAGAGAGAGAGTTGAGAGGGAGAATATAGGAGTCAGAGAGAGAGATAGTTGAGAGTCAGTGAGAGAGAAGATAAGATCAAAAGTGAAATAGATATTTATATAATACAACTAAGAGGAACAGAGACGGGGATGAATCGGGGAAATTTCGGGGCGGGGCCGGGGCCGACGAGCCTATTCCCGTCCCCGGTTCAAAAATTATCGGGGATGTATTTTTCAATACCAGCCTCGGCCCTATGGTGAATAATTTTCGGGGAAAACCCGATTTATCGGGACAGGGCGGTCCGGTCCCCGTTGGGCCTGGTTGATATTGCCATCCCTACTGAACACTTACTAGATCAAGCAGCACAAGTCTAGTCCATACTACCCCCAAGGGAATGGACAAGCTGACCAACAAAACCATCATCCGAATATTGAGTAAAATAATGGATGAAGCAGGGGGCACATGGTCTGAACGACTCCCCGTAGCACTCTAGGCGTATAGAACGTCAAAGAGAAAGCCAACTTAGGCAACCCCATTTTCCCTAGTGTACGGGTCTGAAGCTGTGTTAGCAGTTGAGTTGGCAGTACCCTCAGCAAGAATAGCTATGTCAGCACACTTAGTTCCAGACAGCAGAAAGAATGACATAGAGGCAGCTGAAGAAAAAAGAGATCGAGCCTCGCGGGCAATGGAAAAGTATCATCAATCCATAGCTCGTGCTACAATCAATCTGTTCAGCACAAGAAGTTCAATAAAGGGGACTTGGTATGGAAGACAGTGGACGAAATCATGTGGGGGCAACTAATTCCCAAGTTCTCACCAAGATAGGAAGGCCTTACAAAGGTGCTGAGGCAACCAGCAGCGGGTACGACAAGTTGACAAGAGTAGATGATGGGTTCAAAACTGGCCCTATCATCGCCACGTTGTCTGCATGCTCGAGGAAACCATTGACTACCTGAAGCCTATCCCTCATCCACGATAGGTTTAAACCGTTCCTTTCAAAGCCGCTCAGGTTTGCCTCGGCACTTTCCACGAACTTGCTAGGGGTGGCCAGAATCTTCTTAGTAGCAAGGTCGCAAATGAAGCTGGCGAGTGACTCTAGCAGTGCTGTCTGCACCATAGATCCAGGAACGTTAAAAGCAGGAAAGGTGCCGGGGTGCAGCTCCTGGATACGGGGCGAGAGTGGGAGCAGCTGCGGGGGAGACCCAATAACTTAGAAAAGAAACTTTCTCTGAGGGCTGAGGGGACTCCCTCACACCCGTGCTAACTTCAATCACTAGAGGGAGATTGGTGGAGTGACCAAAGGTCTAAGGACGACGCACTTCCCCTGAAGATGATTGCCTAGTAGCATTGGAATGGGTAGATGCAACGTTGGCGACCGGGTGAACTAGCCTCGCGAGAAAGACTAAAGCTGCCTGCACCGTCATGTCGCTCCGAAAAGAGGTCATCCATCTGGTAGTCTCCAACGTTCAGATCTGGAACAGCAGTGGTATCCATTTCAGTATAAAAATCTTGGGATACCCCAAGGTCAACTGGCACTTCTAGAAAGTGAGTGGGGTACAAGTCTGCCAGCTGTTCAAAGGTTGCCGAAGCAACTGGGTCAGAGGTCCCAGCGACAGCAATAACAGTGTGGGTGGCTAAAGTGACAGCTACCTTTGCAAGTCGGTCCAAATTTAGAGGGGCCACAACAGGAACAGTGGAAGCTGTCGCTACACTTGCACTCTCCTCCGCCACTTGGGTGTTCGAAAGTGGGGTCTGCTAAACCAATGGAGACTCAGTGGACTGGGAGGAACCACCAGATGCAGTTCCAAAGGGAGGTGGTGCAACTTCCAGAGGCTCTCTCATGCCGCTATCTTCCCTTGGGGTCTCAGGGAAAAAATCCTCTCCTCCGCCGATAGAGGAACGATCGGAGTGCATAGAATCTGCGAGGTTTGGAGGCTCTGCACCCTCCAACTAGGCCGTCCGCAACAACTTCCACAGCAGGGGGAACTTCATTTTCTGCAGCCTCCACAACTGGCTCAGCCTCAGTAGTTGGTGCGGCCCCAGCATTTGGTTTTTCTTCAACATTTGGAAGTACTGCCGACGTAGGAACGGTTGGAGTGCCCAGAATCAGTGGGGTTTGGAGGCTCTGCACCCTCCAACTAGGCCGCCCACAACAACTTCCACAGCAGGGGGAACTTCATTTTCTACAGCCTCCACAACTGGCTCAGCCTCAGTAGTTGGTGGGGCCCCAACACTTGGTTTTTCTTCAACATCTAGAAGTACTGCCGACAAAGGAACGGTCGGAGTGCACAGAATCAGCGGGGTTTGGAGGCTCTGCACACTCCAACTAGACCGCCCGCAACAACTTCCACAGCAGGGGGGACTTCATTTTCTGCAGCCTCCACAAAATCTGAGGAAATTCCAATGGCAGTAGAAGAACCTCTGGGGCCGGTGGTATGGCCGGTGGGCCTTGAAAAGAAAAAAGGTTATGTGATTACCAAAGTAAATGTAAGAAGTCCAAGGAATGTGATTTCCGGTTAGTGATGCTTCCAACCCAATTTGCATCTGTATGTACTTCCACTTGAAGATGTCCTTGTTTTTTAAATATCAAGCCTTTATCAGGAGTTCCCTTTAGATACCTTAGGATCCTGTATGCTTCTTCAAAGTTCTCCTTTCTTGGTGAATGCATGAATTGGCTTACTCTGCTTACTGCGAATGCTATGTTGGGACGTGTGTGAGATTGGTATATCAGTCTTCCAACAGGTCTCTGAAACTGGTCTATATTCACTACATCTTCAATTCTAGCATGCTGTAGCTTCAAGTTGAGCTCGGTTGGTGTTTCAGCAGCTTAACATTCGAGCAAGCATGCTTTTTTGAGCAAGTCAATTGTGTACTTGCGCTGCTTGACAAAAATGCCCTCTTTAGATCTAGCGAACTCCATTCCAAGAAAGTATCTTAGTGCTCCAGGACCTTTATCTCGAAATCTTTAGCAAGTCCCTTCTTCAACTTTTTCGATTCGGCTTTATCATTACCTGTTAGAATTATGTCATCTACATAAACAATCAAGATAGCTACTTTACCTTCTCTTGAGTGTTTATAGAACATAGTATGGTCTGCTTGGCTTTAACTGTATCCAAGGTTTTTTACAACCTTCCCAAAGCGTTCAAACCACGCCCTTGGGGATTGTTTGAGGCTGTATAGAGACTTGTTTAATTTGCAGACTTTATCTATACCAAACTTCTTTTCAAAACCTGGAGGTAAGTTCATATAGACTTCTTCTAGATTTCCATTTAAGAAGGCATTTTTTACATTTAGGCCCCGTTTAGGGACTTACTTTTTTAGCCAATTAGTCAAAAAGTTATTAAATTAGTCAAAAAGCCAACAACTCATATAAAAAAGTCAAAGATTCTCTTTTCTCTCTACTTTTTGCACATCTTTTCGTAATTAGCTAAAAAGTCATCCCAAACATACAAGTTTTTTTTACCTACTTTTTTAGCCAAATAGCTAAAAAGTTACTAAATTAGCCTGTTCCCAAACGAGGCCTTAATTGATGTAGAAGCCAGCTGGAATTAACTGCCAGTGACAGTAAAACCCGAATTGAGTTCATCTTGGCAACTGGAGCAAAGGTTTCTTGGTAGTCAATCTCGAGGGTTTGTGTAAACCTTTTTGCCACGAGTCTCACCTTATATCTTTTCATGCTACCATCAGCTTTGCACTTTGTAAATACCCATTGGCACCCTACTGTCTTTTTGTCCTTGGGCAGATTCACTAACAGCCAAGTACCGTTCTTTTCTAGAGCATTCATCTCTTCCATAACTGTTGATTTCCAATTAGGATCATCCAAGGCTTCCTTAATAATAATTCTTGAAAGATAAATATTTCGCAATGGAATGTTGGGTACATTTTCGAATTCCTTTCCTAATGGCTAGAGGAAGATCACAATCTGTGGGTATAACATTAGGTAAAACCGCTGAAGGAAATGGAGATGAAGTAGAGACAGATGATGGAGGAACCAGATTAGGAATACTTGAACTACTTGAGGGACCTCTTTTAAGAGATTCTGATTGGCTTTGTGGTAGAGTGGTTGGCTAGTCTTTACTTTTTTTCTGAGTATTTTTCCAAGCATAAACCAAAAACTCAGGTTCGGGAATAGTTTGTTCCAATTGTAGTATTTCTCCCCCTGCTTGTGAGCCTTCTATGTTTGGAGAAGTTGGACTGGGATTTCCTTTGTTCTCCATATCTTGAATACCCTGTTTCTGTTGTTGTTTTTCAGAAAACAAGGGATGGAGATTGAATAGGATTTGGTAAGGGATCCGAAGTTGTCTGCCAAAAATTTTCTTCCTTTTTCTTTTTCTCCCCTTGAAGAGAATTTTTGATAAAATAGGATTGAGTTTCAAGAAAGGAGACATCCATAATCACCCAAATGTTTTTGTTTCAGGATTATAGCACTTGTTGCCTCTTTTGTTTGGAGCATACCCAATGAAAACACATTTTTCTGCTCTAAGATCAAGTGTGGATCGAATTTGGCTAGGTATGTGAACGAAAATAGTGTAGCAAAAAATTTTTGAAGGCAAATTTGAATTAATTCTGCAATCAAGAAATGTTTTTTTGCAATATTTTAAGGGTGTGACATATTGCAAAACCCGGGTAGGCATTCTATTAATTAAATAAGAGGTTGTCAAAATGGCATCTCTCCATAGATATTTGGGAACATACATAGAGAACATTATGGCTCAGGCTACTTCCAGTATATGCTTATTTTTTCTTTCGGCAATACCATTTTGTTGATGAGTGTCACGACATATAGATTGATGAAAAATAACTTTTTTTCTAAAAAAATTCCCTAGATATTTATTGAAGTACTCTTTTCCATTATCAGCTCAAAAAATACTAATTTTTGAATGAAATTGATTGTCAATCATTTTGTAAAAATCTTGAGACACGTTTTTTACTTCAAATTTGTCTTTCATCAAATAAACCTAGCAAAGTCGAGTGTGATCATCTATAAAAGTTACAAACCACTTTACACCAGTCATGGTGGTAACCTTGGAGAAACCCCACATCACTATGAATTAAGTAGAATGGTTTAGAGGCACGGTAGGGTTTTGTAAGATAAGTAGTTCGATGACTTTTAGATAAATAACAACTTTCACATTGAAAAGACGAACAATCCAAATTTTTAAACAAGTTAGGAAACAAATGTTTAAGATATGAAAAACTAGGATGTCCTAGTCTAAAATGCCAAAGCATTATTTGCTCGCGAGCCGAAAGTGAACTAATACTACAATCATAGCCTTGAGTTGTTTTATTGCTGGATATGTCATCATCAAAGTAGTAAAGACGATTGACCATTCTAGCACTGCCAATCAACCTCCCCAAGTTTCGGTCCTGAAATTCACAATGAGAGTCAAAGAAAACAACACGAAAGTGAGAGTTTTTGGATAGTTTACTGGCAGACAACAACTTGCAGGCCAGTTTAGGAACATGAGGGACAGAATGAAGAGTAATATTTTCTAAAATTTTTATTTGAACTTTTCCTACAATAGGTGAGAAATTGCCATCAGCAATCCTAACTCTTTGACTTTCAGAATAAAATAAATAAGTATTGAATAAAGAAGAGAAAGAAGTCATGTGATCAGATGCCCCCGAATGTACATCTAGATGGACTGAAACCAACGCAAGAAATAATCACCATTGAGTTTAATGCTGGTGATTTGCACCGAGTGAGAATCAATGTTGGGAGACATGTTTGTCAATGTTTTTCGGTGAAACGGTAACAGTGGATTCAGATGTGGTTTCTGATATGGTGAAGGACAGCTTGATGGTTCTAGGATTACCTCAGAAGGGTCAGAGAATAAGTCCTCAGCTTTGATACCATGAAAGCTAGAAAGAACAATATTTCTTATTCTCATATTTAAATAATGTACATAGCACCTCTATTTATAGGAGATACAAGGCATAAAATTAGGAATTGATTAGCTACTAATTAGCTACTGATTCTGAGGACTGATTAGCTATTATTTAGCTACTAATTTTGATCCTAATAAACTTTCCTATTCTATAGTATTGACTAAATCTAAATGTTTACAGTTGTGATATCCAAAAGAATTCAGCCATATCCTGGAAGAATTATTTTCTTTCCATTTCCAATATTGAATATAGTTGATATTTGTTAGTTTTCCTTTTCTTAGCTTCTGTGGCGCATAGGCATTGTTCGTCATGCTATGCTTTTTAAGGGGTAAAGTGTTTTATTGCCATAAAAGGGGATTTACAATGAAGCTCATGACATGCCAAAGGCAATACCCCCTCTAAAAGAGTGCTTACGCCTAGCCTGCAGAACAATTAAACCTTAGCAATTGGCATTTTAGGATAGAAATTTGTGTGCTTTGCAAATCCTTAGAACCTGGGGTCAAGAAAAAATTGAGAAACTAATTGGCATGAGTAGTATTTTAATTTTGAGTTACTACTTATGTCTACAAATTGGCTTTCATACTTAACCAAAAAAAAAAAGAAAAAGAAGAAAAAACAAAAACAGGGTTAAGTTAGTAGTTTATTGGTGGTAGTTGCTACATAATTGATGTCTGTTGGGCTATATATAATAAATCCACGTGTTTTTTGGGAGATAAATGTAGACCTTTTTTTATTCACTGGCAACTGAGCAGCGAGTAGTAACACAAGTGATGAAGACTAAAGAATTCCTCAACTGAACAGTGTGTCAACAACCAGGTAATCTCAGTTATCACTCAAGAATTCCTTCACTTACATTGCTGCCATTGCTTGGAAATGGAGACTAAATTGGGCGTAGGTTTTTTTTGGTTTTTATTTTTTTCATTTATCCTTTTCGATGTTGTGATGCAAAGCGTCATGGAAGCTGACATGGGCATGGAGATAGAAGGTGATGGGCGTGCCCGCATATCTTCAATTCGATCTAGGCAGAGTCGACAACCAGGTAATTTCTAATCTCAGTTGTCACTCAAGAATAAATTCACTTACATTGCTACAATTTCTTGGAAATGGATATCGTATTTCATGAGTAAAAGATCAAAATTATTCTGTTGACACGGCTTCTACATGCTCCAATTAGTATGGTGTTAGAATTGTATGATGCACGATTCGATTCATACAATTTAATATGAGTTTCAACCAAAATTATTTGAATTGTGTTGTTAGAAAATTGGGTGTCCTGTTGAATTGAGAATTGAGTAGTTCGTCTATGTTTTTGTTTACATAATGTATTGAAATGAGGCCTTTTTCTGTTACTCTACGATGAAACAAAAATAGGGGAATTGCTTATATTGATATACGTGGTTATATATAATTTATTTATATTGATACTATGTAGTATTTGACTTTGATTGCTACAGTGTTCCCACATATGTGTGAGGTTTGGAAATTCCTTTCCAATAATTTGGGCTGTATTTGATAAGCATCCTGCGGATCTTGTATGAGAAGGAAATAAGAAATCGAAAAAAAAAAAAAACTTTGTTTATAGTTTCATGTGGAAAAAACATGCAAAGAGCGAACTGCTAATACATGTATTATCTTTTGCAATTTTATCTTTTCTTTTGTGGAAATTTTGTTAGAATTTTGTATTTCATTTGTTGTGATGGGTTATAGAAACCAAAAACTCACTTTTCGTAGTTTTTAGATAATTAGAGATTGACAATTCCAACTTCCTTTACTTCATTCAAAAAGTTGTTCAGAATAATTGATCAGAATTATTTTGAGGAACCGGTTTGTGCATATTATTCAAAATAATTTTACTTTTAGGAGCAGTTAGTTTTTCGTTTGTATTTTTTTTTTCCTTTGTGTTTTTGGCGCTAACCCCTTGCAGGCAATGACACATATAGACATGGTTAATCATTTAAGGTAATCTCCTATACTTTTTGATTTTATTTTTTACATTCAGGACAATGCATCGTTTAGGTTGGGGGCAGAAAATACTTATTTTGAGAAGAATTTATATATTTGCTTGCTGCTATGAGTTAGTTGTTTTGTTTTTTTTTTTTAAAAAATTAGTGCTCATGGTAATCTTTTGTTCTATACATTGGGTGATTGGGCATACTTGCGGTATTTTATTGCTTTAACTCGAGAATTGTGTTGAAGTTTGATATGCTAGGTACTTTGTTACAGCATTCCATGTGTTCATATTTGAAAATCATTGCACTACACTTCTGCCACATGAATATGATTGATAAGTGGATATGACTTGAAAATCTTGAAGAATGATAGTGGAGACTTTTAACCCTGTGAGTTTTGTGCCAATCATTTATTGGAGGGTCATTATTCATCTACTCTTAATTTTTCTTTGGAAACGCATTAATTTATTGTTTAGTCTCATTATTTTTTCATTTTTGGTTGAATGCTTAGAATAAATCAATTTGTTATCATACTTTTACTCCCTCGAGGACAATGCATCGTTCAAGTTGAGGGGAGAAAATACTTATCTTGAGAAGAATTTATATGTTGCTTGCTACAATGAGTTAGTTGTTTTGTTTAAAAAAAGAAAAGAAAAGTGTGCACGGTAATCTTTTGTTCTGTGCATTGAGTAATTCGGCATACTTGTAGTATTTTATTGCTTTAACTCAAGAAATTGTGTTGAAGTTTGATATGTTAGCTACTTGGTTAAAGTATTCCATGTGTTCGTATTTGGAAATCATTGCACTGCACTTTAGCCACATGAATATGATTTTTAGTTGATATGACTTGAAAATCTTGAAGAATGATAGTGGAGACTTTTGAGCCTACAAGTTTTGTGCTAAACTTTTATTGGAGGGTTGTGATACATCTACTCTTAATTTTCTTTGGAAGCGCATTAATTTGTTGTTTAGTCTCATTATTTCTTAATTTTGGTTGAATGTTGAGGATAAATCAATTTGTTACCATACTTTTATTCCTTTGAGATCATGAATTGAGAGATGAGTTTAGGCCATCTTTGTTTCATTGAGCCTTTTATTTATTTTTCTTTCCTTTATTATTACTTCATTAGAAACCGATTTGAGCCTTTATGTTAGCCTTTCTTTGTTTATCCCCACAACCCATACTTTCTTTTCAATTTTGTAGTATGTTGGGTAAGTTCAGTTTGGCAATGGCAAATTTGTTTGAAAAAAAAAATGTAAAAAAAGGAGAGAAGGTGGAAAAAAAAGAAGAAATAAATTGTGTTCAACGAGAGGGGGGGGGGGGGAAAAAAGAAAAGAAAAAAAAAAAAAGGAGGCCTAGCCTTATTCAAGAGTAGCTGCCAAACTATTATTGCATTTCTAGTAAGAATTCCACCAATCCAATTTATCCTGGAAAAGAATCAGATTGATAACCAGAAAAGAACCAAGAAAAGTGAAGTAAAATAAGAAGCCTTGATTTTCTTGTTGAATTCCCACTTACAAACGCGCTATCCCTTTTATTATCATATATGGACAAAAAATTTCCTTACCGATGACTCGACCATGAATACCGATAATCCTCATTCATCGTGGAGACGCGCTGCAAGACCTGGAAAGTCGCTGCTGAGCTTGCTCGGCAGCATTAGCGAAGTTTAGAGTCTGTGACTTTGACACCATGTTGACCATACTAGGAGTATCATAGCCAATAGGACCGCTACTAGTGTTTCCACCTTCACTGCTCAACACAACTGTCTGAGTAGTCGAGTCACCCCTAGTTGTTGCCCTTTGCCACGAATTTTTCCAAAAAATTAGTATGCGGGATATTTTGCCTTTGATTTACATTATTCTACTCGCATATATTGAGAGTAATTTTCACACCATATTTTGAGTGATTTATTTGTTGAATGCAATAACTGGTGAGATTTGAGTCGAAGCATGTTTCAGAATTTCACTTTAAGGCTAAGATTGTGTCTGTGTTGGCTAAACTTTTTCACACACTCCAAATTCTGAATGTCTTGGGATATCTTTACTTGCTGCTAGTGTCTTGAACTTTGATTGATTATTTTGTTAAGATTGTGAAATTCATGACTTGTTCTTTAACATTAGCATGAGAACGAAAGAAATCCTTTTGAGTAAAGAAATTTTTTTTCGTTTGTGGGTAATTTCTCTAGAAATTTTAATTCTCAGTATTTGATATTCCATTCATTAGACTATTTATTTATTCTTTCATATTAGCGTTTTTTAAAAAAATTAGTATGCGGGATATTTTGCCTTTGATTTACATTGTTCTACTCGCATATATTGAGAGCAATTTTTCACCATATTCTGAGTGATTTATTTGTTGAGTGCAATAACTTGTGAGATTTGAGTCGAAGCATGTTTCAAAAAGAGATTTGGGTTATATTTCACTTTAAGGCTAAGGTTGTGTTTGTGTTTGCTAAACTTTTTTCACACACTCCAAATTTTGAATGTCTTGAGATATCTTTATTTGCTGCTAGTGTCTTGAACTTTGATTGATTATCTTGTTAAGGTTGTGAAATTCATGGCTGGTTCTTTAACTTTGGCATGAGAATGAAAGAAATCCTTTTAGAAAAGAAATTTTTGGATGTTTGTGGGTAACATCTTTGGAAACCCTCACGAGACTTTTACTCGTCCACGAGGGGTAACCTATTGGATTAAGGGCTTGTTGCATGTGCTAAATTCAATCGTGATTTCTTGCAGAAGTGATTTAGAGTTGCTTTTATTTTACTTTTTGATTTTATTTTAGTCACCCTAATTGCTAGGTTCTAGCAATAAAGCTGGTTGGGAGGTGTGATGAATGCTTAAAATTACATAGTAGTTCTATGAATTTTGGATATTATATTCATTCTCTCAATTTGTATTTAATTGTGATTATTATTTAATTTAAATTTGTAGAAAAACTATCAATTGCTCAACAAGGCCCATAAGACTCGGTATGCTTCTAAATCATCTAAAGGATAATATTTCTATTGCCTAAAGGCAGGATTGTATATTTTTGTTGATAAGGGAGCAGAAAAGGTGTGCTGTTTTGGAAGAAAAAAGGGCATCTAGTTGATTGACTAGTCCTCCCCGTGTCATTGTACTCAAAGGAATAATTGTTAATCCTTCACAAAAGGTTCTTTTTTATAAAACTAGACTACATTTGTTTCCTGGTAAATTGAGATCTAGATGGATTGGGCCGTTTCGTAGTTAAAACTGTTTTTTCTCATGCGGCCCAAATTGAAAATCCCAAGAATGGTAATGTTTTTAAAGTGACTGGCCAACGTCTTAAACCAGTTTTGGAGAATTTCCCACCTGAAGAGGGGAGGAGTCCATCGTATTAAAAGACCCTATTCATTCATTCATGTTTGAGCTGGTAAAGATGTTTGTAGTCCTTCTCACAATAAGTTATTTATGGGGAAAAAAAGAAATTATGATTTCATCTAACAATTATTCTCTATTTATGATGCCATATCATATGATAAATCGTATTTGAAAATCACTCTTCCAATGTTTGATTGCAGTGAACTTTTAGACCCTGTTGTTGCTGAAGCTACACTGGACTTTCGAAATCTTAACAAGAGAAAACTTTTAACTAATTTCTCAATATTTCTATGATTTGAAATTGGCATGATTCTTTGCTTGGGGTTTAGTTTCTTTATTTGACTGAATTTTCAGATTTAGAAGTAGAAAAGAAGTATGAAACATGTATATCAAATATTTTGGTAACTTATCCTCCTCTAACATCAGTCTTGCATTTGTAGTTTTTCCCATTAATGCTAAGTTCCTCATGTCATCTTTTTGGTTCTGTTCTTAAAAGATATATTTAATTTATTTTATTGGAATGATCTTAGTTATAATTCGTGCAATTGTTGTGTCCTCGAGATATTTGTATATGACAAATGCCAAAAGTGCTGGATATTGGGATTGAAAAAAAGGAGTGTCTTGAAAATAGGTCAAACAATTAAAAGAAGTGCATTAATTTCCATAAAAACTGCATTGAATTTAATAAAAAGTGTCTTGTGTTTTTAAAAAAAAAATTGGGTCTACTTTTCGTGTCCTCAGGACACTTGTTAACAAGACCCTTCATATATTGGTATTATTCATAATTGTAGTTTTATTTTATTTTTGTCCTGTCAATGCTACTTCAGAAATAAATTTTGTTGCATATGTGGTGCCACATCTTATTTTGTATGTTTAAAGTTATTATGCACCTTCCCGACCTTGTTGGAACAAAATATGGTATTGTAATTTCGTACTGAAACTAATTGAGCCTAACGGAAATTTTGACAACTAAACACATATGTTTAATTTCAAAAAGGAGGATCTAAAAGAATGCTTTCGGAGATACTGTGGACTCAATCTGCAGTGAAGGGCATTACTGACTTTCATACATATATTTTTTTTCTGTTTTCTTTTTTGATGCAGATTTGAACAATCGTTTCTAAGTGTGTTTCTAGCATTGATGTCTCTTGGGTCATTTGTTCAGCTATTTCCATCTCTTGTTGACTTACCAAGTAAGCTTGTTTTTCAGGCATGGTTGTTAATTCTCTACACAGGTTTGGCTTTGCGAGAGAACATACTTAGAGTGAATGGAAGTGATATTCGCCCATGGTAATTTGATATGATCTTATATGCATTTGGTTGAATTTTGTGCTAAGATTGCCTTGCATTTATTCTTCATCATTTAAACTATTTGTGTATTTGTGATTGAGATTTTTTTAAAATATATTTTCATAGAGTCGGACATTAGTAATTTCATCTCCCATGCCTTTCAGGAGGGAAAGTGAATATGCAATTTTACTGGCAATGAATTTATGCTATAAAATAGAGTTGCCAGAAGAATCTTTTGACTTCAATGCTTAAAATTATAGCATGATATTCAGTAAATGAATTTATACAGTGTGTTGTCAAACTGCATATTGCAATGAATTAGAAAATGAACAGAGGGTAGAGTATATGAAAAAAATAATGGTTGTCAATAATGAAAGGAGGATATTACTCTAGGTGGAGCTGCATGTTGCAAAAGAATTCATTGAGTTGACTCCAAATAGACATGTTTAATTTTGTTAAATTGAGTTTTTTTGGCAGTATCTTGTTCTCTTATAAGCAGCAGCAGCAACTACATTCTAATTCTAGCGAATTTCTGCCATGTTCAATATTACTGGACTCATATCATGCTTTTTATTCAACTGGCAGGCTCATTCTCTTTATTTTCCGAATTCTGTCAGAACTTGGATGAAAATGTGAAAATGCATTGGATTTTTTTTTGTGATTCTTATCTGCCTCCTAGATTAATATGCATACAACCACAGAATATGTTAATGCTTGCACTTGTGCTGATGTAGGTGGATAAAACATCACTACTTCGCAATGGCCATGGCACTTATCAGTCTCACTTGGGAGACCCAGAAGCAAGTTGTTATCCTTCTTAAGTGCATATTGAAATTTTGTTTTTGTTTTTGTTTTTTTTTAATGAGTGAGACTGTACATGTACTGTGCAGAGAGGGGTGCAATTGTTCCTTCAATGGGCTATCATGCAAGGAGTTGCAATGCTTCTACAAAATAGATATCAACGGCAAAGGCTTTGTACACATATTGCACTCGGCAAGGTGTAATTGAAAAGAAAAAAAAAAAAAAACTCCTTTCACCAACAATTTCTATGCATGCTTCATTTTTGCCTTTATTATCTTTAGTTCTTTCTGCAGTATACTTTGCGTGTGTGTCAGCACTTGGTTGTGTGCTCTTTGTGAAACCTTGTCGTCCTGCATGGTTTGCAGAACTTCAATGAGTTCTTTTGCTTCTGCTGGTTGGAATAACCATGTTTTTGTCTTCTAGCCGATCTGTGTTAGTTTTTTATGGCCCACCGAAATACAAATAGAACTTTTTTTTGGTGGGCATATAATGTTTATTGCAATTGTTCTCCTCTGCCTTACTTTCACTGTTTTATGGGTATTAAGTGCCATTGTTTGTATTTATTTTGTGGTTCACATGCTTTAATACATTATTTTGTGTTTGAAGAATATAAAGTCCTATTTATTGTGTACAGAGGATGGTTAGTGATTTGTATATATTGCCAGCTAAATCAGTCATTCCTTCAGAGAATGAGTGGTTCTTCTTTTCTTCTCGTGGAAGGAAGTACCCAAATGGCTCACAAAGTAAGAGAGCAACTGAATCTGGCTATTGGAAAGCCACTGGGAAAGAACGAAATGTGAAGTTAGGATCTAATTTGATTGGCACTTATTCACCCAAAAAAAAATTTGATTGGCACAAAAAGGACACTGGTGTTCCACACCGGTCGTGCACCAAAAGGGGAGTGGACAAAATAGATAATGCATGAGTATTGTATGAATGGAAATCCTCAGGTGGTGGTGTTAATACTTTTTGACAATATTTTATTTTCTCATAGATGGTTTGGTTATTTCACCTATGTATCTAGCTATTGTCTATACTTTCATTTTTTTCTTATGTTAGTTTGAAGGGCATCCCCTGCCCTGGTTTGGTTTCAGTGAGTAATGTGAAGCAGTACACTTGAGAACTAATATTAATAAGACTTATACTAATATGCACTTTTACAACTTGTATTAATAAGAATTATTTATGATGACATTGACTCAAAATTTTCATTATATCTATATGTGTCCCATGTGGTAAGGTTTCTATAGGACAAAATGATATGTTTATAGATGTAATTATGCATTAGCTTCTGGATATTATGCCTTACTTTCACTGTTTTATGGGTATTAAGTGCCATTGTTTGTATTTATTTTGTGGTTCACATGCTTTAATACATTATTTTGTGTTTGAAGAATATAAAGTCCTATTTATTGTGTACAGAGGATGGTTAGTGATTTGTATATATTGCCAGCTAAATCAGTCATTCCTTCAGAGAATGAGTGGTTCTTCTTTTCTTCTCGTGGAAGGAAGTACCCAAATGGCTCACAAAGTAAGAGAGCAACTGAATCTGGCTATTGGAAAGCCACTGGGAAAGAACGAAATGTGAAGTTAGGATCTAATTTGATTGGCACTTATTCACCCAAAAAAAAATTTGATTGGCACAAAAAGGACACTGGTGTTCCACACTGGTCGTGCACCAAAAGGGGAGTGGACAAAATAGATAATGCATGAGTATTGTATGAATGGAAATCCTCAGGTGGTGGTGTTAATACTTTTTGACAATATTTTATATTCTCATAGATGGTTTGGTTATTTCACCTATGTAGTGTATCTTAGGCATTAATTAGTTTTTACTTTTAATTAGTACATGGGCAAAATTATAATTCTATTAGATTGAGTAAACAACACTAGTCATTATCATTTTATTATTATTATTATTATTATTATTATTATTATTATTATTATTATTATTATTATTATTATTATTATTATTATTATTATTATTATTATTATTATTATTATTATTATTATTATTATTATTATTATTATTATTATTATTATTATTATTATTATTATTATTATTATTATTATTATTATTATTATTATTATTATTATTATTATTATTATTATTATTATTATTATTATTATTATTATTATTATTATTATTATTATTATTATTATTATTATTATTATTATTATTATTATTATTATTATTATTATTATTATTATTATTATTATTATTATTATTATTATTATTATTATTATTATTATTATTATTATTATTATTATTATTATTATTATTATTATTATTATTATTATTATTATTATTATTATTATTATTATTATTATTATTATTATTATTATTATTATTATTATTATTATTATTATTATTATTATTATTATTATTATTATTATTATTATTATTATTATTATTATTATTATTATTATTATTATTATTATTATTATTATTATTATTATTATTATTATTATTATTATTATTATTATTATTATTATTATTATTATTATTATTATTATTATTATTATTATTATTATTATTATTATTATTATTATTATTATTATTATTATTATTATTATTATTATTATTATTATTATTATTATTATTATTATTATTATTATTATTATTATTATTATTATTATTATTATTATTATTATTATTATTATTATTATTATTATTATTATTATTATTATTATTATTATTATTATTATTATTATTATTATTATTATTATTATTATTATTATTATTATTATTATTATTATTATTATTATTATTATTATTATTATTATTATTATTATTATTATTATTATTATTATTATTATTATTATTATTATTATTATTATTATTATTATTATTATTATTATTATTATTATTATTATTATTATTATTTATTTGAATAACTAAACTATTTTCAGCAGCAAAGAGTAGACACAAATATTGCAGATGGCTGTGATGCTCTGAATCTGGGTGTGGCTGCTGATAGCCTTTGGTTGTTTTTATTTGTGGTGTTTGGCTTGAGGTTTGATCTTGTAGTTGAAGGTTGGTAATGGTGAAGATTGCATACCTCGTAATGGACGATGGAATTTTAACAAGGTATTCCCTTGGTTTCGTTATAATAATGGAAGAGAAGTGTTCCAACTTTAGGTGGAGGGTTGCAGAAATTGATAATTCTTTTACATTCCCTATTTTGCTTAAATTCAGCAACTTTGTGAACTAATTTGGCAGTTACTTGTTCTTGTTTTATTCTTTTAAAGCAACTCTTTACCCCCATCCGAATAGAACGGTGGGAAGTTGTCAACGTCTCTGCTCATTGTGATACAAGTCATCTTTCCCGAGAACTTATTAACTGTGGAAGGAACAAGGGCCTTGTAAGTACCCTGTATTTGTTTCTATGATGGGTATTATTGTTTCAAACAAGCTTTGCTTGATATAATTAATTGTTTTCTTTACATTCAGAATATTCCTTTTTGTCTTGAAGGAAGAACATAAGAATCCTTGATTTTTTTATTTTTATTTTTATTTTTTTTACTATAATGCGACGTCGGTTGTAGGCATCAGGCTCAGGATAAGCGGGTTTGTGTTTGCTTCATGATCCAAGCATCATAGCTTTTGTGTTGCTGCGGTTTTGACAAGTTTCTGGTTATGCACTGGACTTGTTTGTGGCAAGGTCTCAAAGAGGGATTTTGGGATTTTGGACTTGTTTTGTTTGTACTTAGAGCTCTTGTAAGTGTTGAATAGATCTGGGTCATCCATTTTTGTGGGGCCCAAAAATGGGTTACCCAGATCTATTTGTGACATGGCCTCTTCAGATTTTTGATCTTTGGATCTGTTGTCTTTTAAAATGAGGCCTTTGGCTGTCCTGTTTGCGTTTCTTCCTCTGTTTGGTTGATTGATTGATTAAATCTGTGTCAACAATCTTGAGATATAAATGTTAGTTTAATGTGTGCAGGAGGTAAATAAAATGTGGGCAGGTTTTAGGTTATTACAGACGGGCACGATATCTACTAGAGATGAGCTCTTTTTTTGACTCTTGTGCATCTAGATATTTGTAACACTATTTGATACAAATCTATTTCTTGTTGGATTTCATTTGGTATTTAAAAATGGCATTCTTAATGGATAGGATGTGCTCTTTCAAGTTCATCGGTTGACAGCAATGCTAACCAATTTCTTATTCTCTATGGCAAGAGACTCCATGTGAGCTACTAAGGTATTTGGTCTCATGTCTTGCATTTTATGAAATATCCATGTTGGCGTCACATGTTGTATCCCGTCTTTGTTTGTGCTTGTGTCCTTGCTTCTTAGCTCTACTGTTAATCATTTTTTTACTAGTTTCAGTTTCATCAATGCAGCAGATTCTGACGCTGTATCTACGGAATGGGAAGTTGAGAGTGATGATGAAAGTGAGGAAGAATCTGAATGTAAGTTTCTTAAAACCAGAATGTGGCAGATCCTGTGCACTTTTCTTATTTATTGGCTATTCCCCCTTTGTAGTATTATTTATTTGAATATTAGATATACTTTCTTTTCATTCAGCTCCACTTCTATCTTCATTACCTTCTTCCGGGTCTTATTTAACATTTATCCTGTTGACTTGTAATTTTTCTTTTGAATTCCACTGCATGTTGTATGCTTTCCAAATTATTTTGAAGCCTTCTTTGGGTGCATTAGTATTTGGCATTAGCACAAATGCACCTGAAGCTTCATTTGTTGTTTTCTCTCGTATCTTTGTGTTAGTAAAACAAATATAACTATAAAGATGTGATGCCTGGGTTGCAAATTGTTCTTTTTCTTATTGGTTTTCTGTTTTATCAGTTTAGCTGACTTGTGGCTTTTTGCATATTATTGTTCTTATGGTTTTGGTTCCACTTCCTGATATAATTTATGGTATTTGATGTGTGGTGTCTTGGTTTCTTTTGTGAAGATACTCTAATTTTACTTGATTTTGCTTTAATGTCAAGGGTAAGAAATGCTTCTTTGAAGTTATAATTAATCGTAAAAATAAAAATAAAATTTAGTTTATTATTTATGTTTTGTTGTAATAGTTCATAAAAGCTCTGCAAGAGGATCCGTCAGCATTAAAAATACTCACTCAAAGTTGAACTTTACTCATTTCCTCACCTGCAGAATTTTCTTCTTCAAGCTATGTCTCTTAACTGTTGTCTTCATTTTTTTGTTTGCCCTAGGTGGGTTAACAACTTTGGTTGACATGCCTCTTAACAGTTTTCCATCTACAGTTTCTAAAGAGACTTTTGAACTCAAGGTATGGATGGTTGAACTCAACTTTGGTTGACATGCCTCTTAGCTTCACTTTTTAATTAGGTAGTTTGAAACTTAGCTTCACTTTCATATTCTTATTGTAACCAACTATTGCCTTTTCTTGTTATCTTTTTTCCATCTACATAACAGATCATGGCTGCAGCAAAGAGGATCTATGTTGATGTTGGTATGCTCTTAGAATTATATATGAGAAATCTCATATTTTAATCACTTGTTTTAATCATAGTAAGGCTGTGTTGCAATGTTAGTAAATAGACTTGTAGGAACAAACGGGACCTCGATTGGATCTCCGGTTAGAAAATTAGAAGGAAAATTGTAAAACACAAGACTTAAAATGCCCGTTCAAGGGCCGAAATTTTGAAATGACCACCGAAATCACCGAAACTTGGCACGAACAGCCTTTTGAAGCCTAAATAGACTTGTAGGAAATAACGGGACATGTATTGGATCTCCGGTTAGAAAATTAGAAGGAAAGTTATAAAACACAAGACTAAAAAGGCCCGTTCGGGGGCCGAAATTGCGAAATGACCACCGAAACCACCGAAACTTGGCACGGACAGCTTTTTCAAGCCTAAACAGACTTGTAGGAACAAACGGGACCTCGATTGCATTTCCGGTTAAAAAATTAGAAGGAAAAATGTAAAACGAAAAGCTTAAAAGGCCCGTTCAGGGGCCGAAATTTCCAAATGACCACCAAAACCACCGAAACTTAGCACGGACAACCTTTTGAAGCCTAAATAGACTTGTAGGAATGAACGGACCTCTATTGGATCTCCGGTTAGAAAATTAGAAGGGAAGTTGTAAAACACAAGACTAAAAAGGCCCGTTCAGGGGCCGAAATTGCAAAATGACCACCGAAACTTGGCACGAACAGCTTTTTCAAGCCTAAACAGACTTGTAGGAACAAACGGGACCTTTATTGCATTTCCGGTTAAAAAATTGTAAGGAAAAATGTAAAACACAAGGCTTAAAAGGCCCGTTCAGGGGCCGAAATTTCGAAATGACCACTGAAACCACTGAAACTTGGCACGGATAGCCTTTTAAAGCCTAAATAGACTTTTAGAAACAAACGAGACCTCTATTGGATCTCCGGTTAGAAAATTGTAAAACACCAGACTTAAAATGCCCGTTCGGGGGCCGAAATTGCGAAATGACCACTGAAACCACCGAAACTTGGCGTGGATAGCTTGTTCAAGCCTAAATAGACTTGTAGGAACAAACGGGACCTTGATTGGATCCCCGGTTAGAAAATTAGAAGGAAAGTTGTAAAACACAAGACTTTAAAGTCCCGTTCGGGGGCCAAAATTACGAAATGACCACCGAAACCACCGAAACGTGGAACGAACAGCTTGTTCAAAACTAAATAGACTTGTAGGATCAAACGGGACCTCGATTGGATTTCCGGTTAGAAAATTACAAGAAAAAATGTAAAACACAAGACTTAAAAGGCCCGTTCGGGGGCCGAAATTTTGAAATGACCACCGAAACTTGGCACGGACAACCTTTTGAAGCCTAAACAAACTTGTAGGAACAAATAGACCTCTATTGGATCTCCAGTTAGAAAATTAGAAGGAAAGTTGTAAAACACAAGACTAAAAAGGCCCGTTCGGGGGCCGAAATTGCGAAATGACCACCGAAACCACCGAAACTTGACACGGACAGCTTTTTCAATCCTAAACAGACTTGTAGGAACAAACGGGACCTTGATTGCATTTTCGGTTAAAAAATTATAAGGAAAAATTTAAAACACAAGGCTTAAAAGGCCTATTTAGGGGCCGAAATTTCGAAATGACCACTGAAACTTGACACGGATAGCCTTTTAAACCCTAAATAGACTTGTAGGAACAAACGGGACATCTATTGGATCTCCGGTTAGAAAATTAAAAGGAAAATTGTAAAACACAAGACTAAAAAGGCCCGTTTGGGGTCCGAAATTGCGAAATGACCACCGAAACTACCAAGACTTGGCATGGACAGCTTTTTCAAGCCTAAATAGACTTGGAGGAACAAACGGAACCTCGATTGGATCCCCGGTTAGAAAATTAGAAGGAAAATTATAAAACACAAGACTTAAAATGCCCGTTCGGGGTCCAAAATTGCGAAATGACCACCGAAACTTGACACGGACAGCTTGTTCAAGCCTATATAAACTTGTAGGAACAAACGGGACCTCGATTGGATCTCCGGTTAGAAAATTAGAAGGAAAATTGTAAAACACAAGACTTAAAAGTCTCGTTCGGGGGCCAAAATTACGAAATGACCACCAAAACCACTGAAACTTGGCACGAACAGCTTGTTCAAACCTAAATAGACTTGTAGGAACAAACATGACCTCGATTGGATTTCCGGTTAGAAAATTACAAGAAAAAATGTAAAACACAAGACTTAAAATGCCCGTTCGGGGGCCGAAATTTCGAAATGACCACCGAAACTTGGCACGGACGGCCTTTTGAAGCCTAAATAGACTTGTAGGAACAAACGGGACCTCTATTGAATCTCTTGTTAGAAAATTAGAAGGAAAATTGTAAAACACAAACTTAAAAGGCGTGTTGGAGAGCTGAAATTGCGAAATGATCACCGAAACCACCAAAACTTGGCATGGACAGCTTGTTCAAACTTAAATAGACTTGTAGGAACAAACGGCACCTCGATTGGATTTCCGGTTAGAAAATTACAAGAAAAAATGTAAAACACAAGACTTAAAAGGCCCGTTCGGGGGTCGAAATTGCAAAATGACTACTGAAACCACCGAAACTTGGACTTTTCGTTACAAAATTAAAATCAAAATTGTGAAATTCATATTGATTTTTTTTTTTTTGGTCAATCTAATATTGTTTTCTTTTTTCATGTGATAGATTGGCAATGGTGGAAAACAGTTCGGGCTGCATCAGAAGATTTGATTTTGTGTTTTTGGAAATATTTGGACATAGGATTTTGGTAAATGATTTATAGATTAGATGTTTAGCATCAAAATATTTAGTTTGTGTTTTTGAAAATATTTTGACATAGGATTTGGTAATGTATTTATGGGTTTGATGTTAGTAGTTTGTAAGTATTTTGGTATGCATGTTTTAGATTGTCAGAGAATTGTAATTATGTTTATTGAGATTTTTCATAGCTGTTAATTTTGAATTAGTATGAATGTCTTGCACAGGTGTATTATTATTTACATTACATTTGTGTATATATTGTGCACAGGAAAACAGGTGTTTTAGATTATTTTAAACAGGAAAATTATTAAAATTAAAATTTGTGTAGTGAATTTTAGTGACAGGTGGTGTTTTTGTCGTCGTTAATATATTTGGCGACAACATATTGTTTTTGTCGCTAAGAGTTAGTGGTTATTCTAAGAACTTTTAGCAACCAAAACTTTCGTCGCTAAAAACGTGATTTTTAGAGACCAAATTAATTTTGTCGTTAAATAGTACTTTCGGCGACGCATTTATTTGTCGCTAAAATTACAAAGCCTATCCAAATTTTAACCTTTTAGCAACAAATTGTAATTTTATATCGACAAAGTATATGAGTTTTGGCGACCAATTTTACTTGTCGCTAAATGTCTATATACGGTAACAATTTCTGATTTCGTCGCCAATATTTTTAGTGACAGGGCTTTAGCGACCAATTGTATATTTTGTCGCCGATTCTTTTAGCGACGAAATTTGTACTTTTGGCGACAAATTTTTGGGTCGCCAAATGTGTTTTTTGTTGTTGTGAAAACAGATGAGAATGATTCTCCTCAGGAGCTTGGCAAAGAGGGCAGATAGGTTGAGAAACAAGACCAAACATTTGCAATCTATCCCTAGTATTTAACCTCTCATGAATAGCTAGCCAAACCACAGAGCTAACCCTAGGTAATAGAGTCCCCCAAATCAGATTAGCCCAAGGGACTTTAGGACCCTTATCCCTCCAACAGTCCCAAGTAGATTGAATAGAAAAGAGCCCATCAGAATTAAGCTTCCAATAGGGTCTATCCTGAGTCTCACTACTAGGCCTAAATGTTGGAGGAGTGGAAGAGATCCACTCTCTAATTTCCCAAGAGTTAGCAGTTGGCCATTTTCATGCAAAATTTGAGATAATGGAGCTAACTTTGGTATCATAAGGAAAACCCGTATCATAAAGAATCTTATGCCCAAATCTATCCCAAAGAGAACTGAGGGATGCTAATTATCAAACCACAGAAAAACATTCTTCCCATTACCAGTCTTAAAGTTGATAAGAGGATAGATGATCTTCCTAAGAGACAGAATTTTCCTCCAGACCCAAGAGGGGTCACTAGGTATTTTAACATCCTAATTAAAAATAACGCGCTCAATATGTGGAAGAATAAGGGTCTGGAGGAAATCCTGAAGAATGATGATGGTTTTATTTTTTTCATGTTTGAAAATCGGGATTGTTGCATAGATGTCTTAGAGGGAGGACCATGGTATGTGGGAGGTTTCCTTCTCATTCTGAAGCAGTGGCATCGCATGATGAAGCTGTCTAAGGAAGATAAGAAAACTATCCCTGTTTGGGTGAAATTATACAATATTCCTCTGGAATACTGGGATGGGGATGGTTTAAGTAGGATAGCTAGTGCAGTGGGGGTACCTTTGTTTATGGATCAACTTACATCTTCAGGAAGTCGAATTTCCTTTGCTAGAGTATGTGTGAATATTCCTACGGATTCTGCTTTCCCTGACAGTTTTGTCATCACTAGTGGTGAAGAGTCTATTACTATCCATGTGGAGTATCAAGGTGTACCCTCTAGATGTTTGCACTGCCATGTTTTTGGGCACGAAACTAAAACCTACCTCTCTGCTCAAGTGGAGAAACTTGTTGAGTACAGAAGATCACTGAAGAAAGGGTTGAACTTGATGGGGGCTGGACAAAAGTTAAGGATAAGGGTAAAAGGAAGGTTGGTTACCAACCATCCCCTGAGCACAATGTCCATATCGAAGAAACAAGTGCATCTGCAACAATGGAAAATGACAGGGTGAATGAAGTCCAGTATAAGGAGGTTGTTATCCATACTGAGATTGAAGAGATTGATGCAAAAAAGCCACAGATCAGATAGCTGCATTCCATGCTGAGGTGGTGGAGATTGCAAAAATCATAAATCCAGTAGCAGAGGACTTTATTAGAAGTATTGAGCAAGCGGGAAGAGATGAAGTGATGGCAAATTCACCTGAGATACAGGGGGGAAAAGGGGATGGTGAAACAAAGGTGGGTAGTTCAACTAAGCAGAAGTCTTCTGGCAGAACTTCAGGAAGCCAGAGGAAGAAAAAGAGGTAAATAGTGTTGTCCTTTTTGTGGTGGTCTGGTTGTGTTCTCTTTTATTTAGATATTTTTATCATGTCTATAAAACTCTTTTTGGACTGTTAGAGGGTTTTGGAAACATGGGCGTTTTGGAAACAAAAATTAAAATGGAAAATGAAGCTAAACTTTTTGAACATAGCTTTAGAAATTGGAAATTTTTGTCTAATTCACGACCAGATCTGCTAGCTAGAATTGGATATGTTGGGATTCAAACTTTTGTGATATTTTGGTGGTTTAAAAGTCAAACCAGTTCATTTTTGTAAAGGTGACTGTTTTTGAGAGCAATTTCAATTTCTTTGCTACTTTTGTGTACGCAGAAAATAAGCATGAGCTGAGACTTCCCCTTTTTTGTGATCTTAAAAAGATTGCTATCAGCCATGCTAATCACCCCTCAATTTTCCTTGGTGATTTTAACGCTGTTAGATTTTCATATGAAAAAATAGGGGGGAAGGAGGGTTGGTGTAGTGCTAATGATACTTTTAATAATCTGGTTTTGGATTCTGAGTTGGAAGACTTGTGTTACAAGGGGTGTCAGTTTACTTGGTCTAATAAACGCGGTGGTGGTAATTTTATTACTTCAAAACTTGATAGAGTCCTTGTTAACGAGAGGTGGTTAACTGTTAATCCCAACTCGTATGCTCTTTTCCTGCCTCTTGGTGTCTCTGATCATTCACCTGTGATTGTACACCTTGGTCCTGAGGAGGCCAAATTAAAAAAACCTTTTAAGTTCTTTGATTTTTGGGCTGACCATGTTGAGTTCCTCCCTAGAGTGCATGGTGTTTGGAGAAAATACATCAGGGGCTCTCCTATGTTTAGGGTCTGTCAAAAGCTTAAGACTCTAAAACCTATTTTGAAAGCTTTAAACAAAAAGGAGTTCAGTGAGATTTCTACCAGAGTTGGAGTTGCTAAGGATCATCTTCTTAATTCTCAGATTAAGCTTGATAAAGATCCGATGAATTTAACTCTTCAAGAGGAGGAAAGGGCTGCCTATGGTAGATATGTAGATCTTAGTAAAGTTGAGGAAAGTCTTGCTCATCAGAAATCCCGTGTCCAATGGTTAGGTTTGGGCGATAGAAATTCCAAATTCTTCTTTAGAACTGTTAAGGGTATTAGTGAATAGGGGTCGGATCCATAGTGTTGTGCTTCCTAGTGGGGTTAGAGCGCCTAAAAGTGAAGAGGTCCATAAATCTTTTGTGGACTCATTCACTAATCTGTTTGGGAAGCCTTTTGTGGACCACTATAATGGGCTTGATAGGATTAGAAACCTTGTCACCAAAAGAGTGTTTGAAGCTTAGTACCAAGCTCTTGCTAGGAAGGTTACTAAGAAAGAGATCACTGATGCCTTCAAATCCCTAAAAGCTAATAAGGCCCCTGGCCCTGATGGGTTTTCTGCGGGTTTCTTTTTTAAAGCCTGGGATGTTGTGGGGAGAGAGGTTGTTGAAGCTATTAAATCTTTTTTTACATCTGGGGAGCTCCTTCAGGAATTGAATAGTACCTCCATTGCTCTCATTCCTAAGATCCCTAATGTTGAAAAAGTGGGGGACTTCAGACCAATCTCATGTTGTAACACTCTGTACAAATGCATCTCTAAGATCATTACTGATAGGATTAAAATTGTTCTTCATGATCTCATTGATCCTGTGCAATCAGCTTTTGTCCTTGGGAGGAGAATTGCTGATAATATTTTTCTTTCATGAGCTTATGAGGGGCTATCATAAATCATCACCTACTCCCAAGTGTGCCATGAAAGTGGATATTATGAAAGCTTACGATAATGTTAGGTGAGATTTTGTTCTTGATGTCCTAACAGCTATGGGATTCCCTCATAATATTATCCATTGGATAAAGGCTTGTATGACTAGCCCTACATATTCTATTTGTATTAATGGGAGTCTTCATGGCTATTTTAGGGGGGAGAGAGGGTTGAGGCAAGGTGACCCCATGTCTCCATACCTTTTTGTTATAGTCATGGAGATTTTTTTTCTAGAATTTTGGCTGAGAAGGCTTCTCATCCCGAATTCAAATTCCATTGGAGGTGTGATAAAACGAAACTTGTCAATTTATGTTTTGCAGATGATTTGATGATCTTTTGTAAAGGGGATGTGTTCACTGTCTAGTCCATCAAAACTGGCTTAGAGGAGTTTCAAAACTTGTCTGGTTTGTCCCCTAGCCCTAATAAGAGTCACATTTTTTTTTCTGGGTGTGAACAGAATTTAAGAGATGAGATTCTTAGGGTTTGTAACTTCAGTGAAGGCACTTTGCCTGTGAGGTACTTAGGGGTTCCCTTAGTCTCTACTAACCTTAAAGCTACTGATTGTGTTCAACTTGTGGAGAGAATAACAAAGAGGATTAAAAGCTGGACTAATAAGTGTCTCACTTATGCTGGTAGAGCCCAGCTGATACAATTTGTTCTTTTCTCTATGCAAGTGTTCTGGACCTCTTTGTTTATTCTTCCAAAGAAGGTCATTTGTTCCATAGAGAGTCTGTTTAGAGCCTTTTTCTAGTCTGGCTGTGAGCTGAAGAAGTATGGGGCTAAGGTGTCTTGGGATAGATTGTGTTCCCCTAAGAATGAAGGGGGCTTCGGGTTTAAATCTCTTATGGTGTGGAACAAGGCTGCTATTGCTAAGCATATCTGGTTCCTCTTCTCTAGGGGTGAGCAATCTATGTGGTGCCTGTGGATTAAATCTTATATTCTAAAAGGTAGAAGTTTTTGGAGAGTTAGGGTGCCAAATGACCCCTCCTAGGTTTGGAGGAAAATTCTTTCTCTTAGACCCATCATTTACCCTTTAATCAAACATAGGGTGGGAGATGGGTCCAGTGTATCTCTTTGGTTTGATAACTAGCACCCTATGGGATTTGTGTGGGATAGATTTGGGGTTAGAATTGTTTATGATTCTGCCTTGAGTCTAGATGCTAAGGTTAGTGCGATTGTGGAGGGGACTACTTGGAGGTGGCCTTTCCCTTCTTCATGGGAGCTTATGGACCTCATTGCTAGTACTCCTTCCACCTTTCTCCCTTCTGGTGGGTCAGATGATGTTAGTTGGAGCCCTGTTTCTAATGGTAAATTTACTATCCAGTCTACATGGCACTCATTAAGGCAACATTTTGATCATGTGAACTGGTCTAAGATTTTTTGGGGGCCTCATAACATCCCTAAAGTGAGTTTTGTGGCGTGGATAGCTATCCTTGGCAGATTGAACACTGGAGATAGATTAAAACTCTTTGGTGTGACCCAATCTACTGAGTGTGTCTTCTGCCAACACCCATGTGAAGACCACAACCACCTTTTCTTTGAGTGTCCTTTCTCTAAAAGAGTTTGGGCCTGTATAAAAGGTAAAATGAATGTTGATTGGCCATCAATTCCTTGGAATGACTTGGTCTAGCTCATTGCTAAATCTGTGAGATGGAAGTCTTTAGAGACTATTATTACCAAGCTTGCCTTTACTTGTACTGTGTACCAGTTATGGATTGCTAGGAATAATAGTCTTTAGTAAGGATATGGTACAATATAAAGTGTATTGTGGACATGGTTAGATTCAGGGTAATGCATATTACCAACTTGGATTCACACCATACTGATAGATGGTACTTGAGCTCATGGAGACTACCTCATACTCTGTTGAAGCATGCTGTATCTGTTGAGATGGATGTGAGTTCAAAAACTGTGGGTTGAGTGATGGTAAGCATATACAATGTGGGGTTTCCTAATGTTTGTTATTGTTATAGGTATGCGAATTACAGGGAAGGGGAAGCTTGAGTATGTGCCATATTTTATGAGGGTTGAGTATAGTGTGAGGAATAAACTAACTCCAAACCCAATATTACTAGCCATATTGAGAGGGACTAACATGTTTCTATATATTTCTTGTATTTGTTATTTTTGCAGGTATATGGAGCAATATTTCTTGAGTGATGTGAGCTTATATATTTGTGGGTTGAGTGTAGTGAGCATCTATATGTGTGGTGTAAAATGTGACCTGTCATGTTATTATTGGTTTGTGGACCTGATAATCTTGTCTCGGTATCTGTTGTTTACAGGGTATACTATAATGTCTAAGCTTTGTTTGGGATGCATGGGGTGGCAGAACAGTACTTCTTCTGATGGTGCTGTCTGTTTCAGGATTCAGCCTTGGTTCCTTCGAGTTGGGGAACTGACTGTGTTCGCATGGTTGGCTGCTGGAGGCGCCTCTTTGTGTGAAGAAAGATTTTATTTTATATTGCTTTGCTTAGTTTGTTTTGGTATATGGCCTACCTGTGAGGGCTGTGCACGGGGGTACAAAACAGATTGGTTACTCTTGGCTTTTTGTTACCTAGTTGTATGGGTGTGTTCATGTTCCTCATCTAATCTTCATGCGGCCTATGAACACATTTTTTGGGTTATTTTCTACTATGATTGAGTTCCTTAGTTTAATTTTATTTTTTCTTTCTTTCTATTTCCTTTTGATCACTTAGATATGTTATGTTAACAGTTTTAACAGTTTATAGTGGTTTGGTTAAGGCCCCTTCGGCTTTGGTTTGTTTATTTTAGTCTCATGGTCCTGTTTCTTGTATAGTGCTTTGGCTTAGGGCCCCTTGTAGTGGTGTAAGTTTTTTTGTCTTTTATTTTATGACTTATTTACCTAAAAAAAAGGTATTTTAGCATACCAAAAACTCTTGCCTTTGAGTAAGTAAGACTTAACCCATTGGCACCACATCGAACCCACCCCCCCCAAAAAAAGGAACCAAACATGCTTAGCTATAGCCGCCTTGTTCCACACACCCATGTCTTTGAAACCTAATCCCCCCTCACTCTTAGGCTTACAAATATCTTTCCAAGCAATTTTAGCACTATGCTTCTTCAACTCAACCCCAGACCAAAGAAAGGATCTCAAAATACATTCAATCTCTCTAATAACCTTTTTAGGAAGGATAAAAAGAGAAGACCAATATACTTGTATAGAAAAAAGAATGGTTTGTATAAGTAACTCTACCCGCATAAGAAAGGAGCTTGTTAGTCCAGCTTTTGACCCTCTTAGTAATCCTGTCAACCAGAATTTGACAATCAGTAGCCTTAAGCTTCATAGTAATCATGGGTACACCCAAGTATTTCACCGGAAGAGTGCCAATAGTAAAATTAGATATATGATTCAATTTAGAATGCTTTCTATGAACAATTTGAAAACTCATTCTAATGACAATTGGTTTATGAGCAAAAATGGAGGCTGCCTACTTCTATCTTGAAGAAGAATTCTTGTGATGGAAGCAGAAGAACTTTGAGTGTTGTGAGTCTAGCAAATGTGGGTTGAGTGAAGGGGAGTATATATTGTGTGTTACCTAATTGTTTGTTAATCTTGCAGTTTGCTACAAGCTGGTTTGAGTGTTGCTATTTTCCATTGAGGGTTGAGTTTTAGTGAGGACCATACCTATCCTACCCACTGAGAGAAGCACTCTAAACGGTGCAGCCATGAAGAGACAGCAAAGAGATAACCAAAATCATCCAAGACATCCATTCTATCACTGTACACAAGGAACCCGTTGAGTGCAGGTTCATAGCAATAGATCTCAAAAAGTCGTAGGTCCCACCACCACAAAAGAAACCTGTATATGAGCAAGTACACCGGCAAAACCATAAGAACCCAACCAGATCCAAAAAGCAGATAGTGCCTAATAGACCCAAGCACATCCCGCTAGAGTAGGAAAGGAATCCAAAACAAAACAGGAAGAAACCCATATAAACTTCATATACATTATTTTGAAACTGGAAAGTAAAATAGAAAACACAAAAGCATCCTCTAAAGATGCAAGGCATTGAGACTGGCGCAGATATGCAGCACGGTCAACGATGCCTTCAAACTTATCTTGATCCTCATACATTGTAGAATGACCTGAAATAGACCAATCACAACAGTGAAATAGGCTATATTCACCCCCCCCAAAAAAACAGTGAAATAGACTATAAACAACAACCACAATCTGAAAAATATATCTAAGACCCTCTAATTTTATATATAAACTGAATCACTCAACCCACAAATATATAACATCCATAACAAAGCGCAACACTCATTATATACTCTCACACCACTTGGCCCACAACTTTTGAACTCACACCACTCGATGCTTGAATTTCTTGTGCCTGTAACAAATAATAGCAAACATATGCAGAAATATATTAGTAAACCCCACAATGTAGGAAGCTCACTCCACTCAACCCATATTTTACTGAACTCACATCTCTCTTCCTTTGTCGGATCTGCAAAACAGTACACAATGTTAGAAAAGTAGATGGTTTTTAGAACTCTCATCACTCAACCCACAAATGGTAACTCTCATATAATAATACACTCTGTTTAGGCTCACAATCACTCAGCACACAGCACACACAATCCTCAATTGGTACTAGGAATGTTTCACTTATGGAGGAACCAATCATCATTACTGGACTTCTTAATGTTTGAGAGGGCCATAGATCTACATCTCACCATCTGGATGATTTGTTGAATGACAATCTCTTCAGGTTTATTTTCTTTGTTGAAGACTCTATTGTTTCTTTCCAACCACAAATAGTACACAGTGCAACAGAAGCTCAGTTTTCTAATAATGGAAGCCAAAGATTTTCCTTTACATTTCCTTGCCACCTCAGTGACAGTTCCAATCAGTACCACCACAAGTCAAGTTACATTTATGTTTTATAGCTTGCCATACAACAGATGAGAAAGGGCATTGAAAAAATAGATGATCACAATCCTCCCCAACTTGACCGTACATAGGGCAAATAGGAGAATGAGTAAGACCAAATAGAACCAATCTATCACCAGTGTTTAGACGGCCAAGGATGGCCATCCAAACAACAAAACTAGCTTTTGGGATGGTATGAGGCCCCCAAATGAGCCCAATCCAATCAACCTTAGGCCACTTTTGCCTCCAATGGTCCCAGGCAGACCCAATGGTAAAATTACCATCATTCTGAGGAAGCCAAAGCAGTCTATTAGGGGACAAGTAAAAGGGATTAAAATTAGCTAGAGTATTACTAATTAAATCCCTAATCTCCCAGGAGGAAGCAACAGGCCAATGCCAACCAGAAGAGTCAACAATGGAACTCATTTTAGCTTGACGGGCAAGGCCATATCATAGATAATCCTCTCCTCAAATTTAGCCCAGAGAGAACCCAAAGGGTGCAAATTGTCATACCAGAGAAAAGTATTGGTACCAGATCCAATAGTAGATTTGAAGAGAGGAAAAAGGGCAACCCTCAAATTGAGCAACTTCCTCCAGACCCAAGAGGGGTCACTGGGGGTTTTAACACACCAGAAACTATTCCCTTTTAATAAGTAGGACTTCACCCACTGACACCACATAGACTGATCACCCCCAGCAAGAAGGACCCACACATGCTTAGCAATAGCAGCCCTATTCCAAACCTCCATAGACTTAAAACCCAACCCCCCTTTATTCTTAGGGGAACAAACTCTATCCCAAGATACTTTAGCACTAGTGCTCTTAAGCTCAATACCATTCCACAGAAAAGACCTGCACAAGCTCTCAACCTCCTTAATAACCTTCTTAGGGAGGATAAATAAGGACGACCAATAAACTTGCATAGAGAATAAAATGGTACTAATCAGCTGGGCTCTGCCAGCATAAGTCAACACCTTATTAGTCCAAGACTTAATTCGAGCAGATATTCTAGACACCAAGCCTTGACAGTCACTAGATTTAAGCCTAGTAGGAATAAGAGGAACTCCCAAGTATCTCACAGGGAGATGCCCCTCCTTAAATGTAGTGACACCCAAGATCTCCTCGCGAAGCTTTTTCTCGCAACCCGAGAAGAACACATGACTTTTCAAAGGATTAGGAGAAAGACCCGACAGTTTATGGAATTCATTAAGGCCATCCTTGATAAGGTGGACAAATTTGATGTCACCTTTGCGAAAGATCATTAAATCATTCCTCAAAACAGAGATTGACAATCTTCGTTTTACTACATCTCCAATGAAATTTGAATTAAGGATCAGAAGCCTTTTCAGCCATGATCCTAGCCAGGACCTCCATGACAAGCACAAAAAGATACGGGGACATGGGATCACCTTGTCTTAAACCCCTTTCAGCCTTAAAATAACCAAAAAGACTCCCATTTATACTAATAGAGAAGGAGGCAGAAGTCACACAAGCTTTAATCCAACCTATGAATTTTACCGGGAAATTCATAGCTTTCAAAATGTCAAAAACGGAAATCCCATCTCACATTATCATAAGCTTTCATAAGGTCAACTTTCATGGCACACCTAGGGGAATTGGAATTCCTATGGTAACCTCTCATCAGCTCTTGGGAGAGAAAAATGTTATTGGCAATTCTCCTCCCTTGGACAAAAGCAGATTGCACAGGATCAATTAAATCGGGTAAAACAGCCTTTATCCTATTTGCAATAATTTTGGCAATACATTCGTATATGGTATTGCAACAGGATATAGGTCTATAATCACCGACTTTACTAGGATTTGGAACTTTTGGGACAAGAGCAATACTAGTACTGTTTATCTCTTTGAGGAGCTCCCTTGATTCAAAAAAGGACTTAACAACAATAGTAACCTCCCTCCTAACAATGTCCTAAGATTTTTGGAAGAAACTAGCAGAGAACCCATCAGGACCCGGGGCCTTATTAGCATTGAGCGACTAGAGAACATCTTTAATTTCCTCATCAGTGATAGCAAGACACAGATTATGGCACTGATCAGTAGACAACTTCCTGTGGATTAGATGGTTGACCCTGTCCCCACCAGAATAGGTATCTGTAAAAGGGGCACCAAAAAGGTTTTTAAAAGCTTCCACAACTACATCTTGAACATCCTGAGATTTAGTCAAGCGGCACCCAACCTCATTTACGACACTACTAATTCTATTCCTATTGATGTTATTACGGACAGACCTGAAGAAAAAACTACTATTCCTATCTCCAAGACTAAGTCACTGGACTCTAGACTTCTGTTTGGCAAAACTTTCCTCCACTTTACAAAGATCACTATACTTTTTAAAAAGATTCCGCTCAGAAGACTGTTTTTGCAAGCTTAAAGGGTCCTTATTCAATTTGATTTGAGCAATCTCAAGCTCATCTCTAGCATAGAGGACCCTGGATGAAATATCACTAAAATCTTTTTTGTTCAAAGTCTTAAGGAGGGGCTTCAAAGACCTAAGCTTACAACAAATTCTAAACAAAGGAGACCCCTTAAACATATTTGCACCAAACCCCACTCACAATGATCTTGAACTCAGGATGGTCAGCCCAGAAGCTGAAAAACCTGAAAGGTTTCTTATATCTAGGGATTTGAGTGTGACTGGTAACAATACTAGGGAATGGTCAGAAGGAGCAGCAGGATAGAAGTAGGCTGAAGAAGATGAAAAGAACTTCAACCGGTCATCATTGATGAGAACTCTATCAATTTTGGAAGTGATGAA